AGTTGTTTGTTGAGTAGAGCACAGGGTGTATGTGGAGGATTGAGTAGATATGGGATGGAACATATGAGACTGTGAATTCTAAAACTGGTTCTATTTCTCCCCCGAGAGACCAGTCACTGGAGAAGGACACCACACTTGGTAGAGGGTCAGCGAGAAAGAGGAAGACCCTCAACAAGATGGACTGACGACTGACGTAGTGACTGCAACAATGGGCTCAAATACAGCAACGATTGTGAGGATGGTGCAGGAGCGGGCAGTGTTTTGTTCTGTTGTACACAGGGTCACTACGAGTCAGAACCGACTCAGTGGTACCTAACAACATTTCTTCTACCATACAACTCCCTATATTTTGACAACTTCTTTACTAAGGAATACCACAATAGTCTTGTTCCACCTATTAATTCCTACCTCTTGGAATTACAAACTGTCATCAACTGCATCAAGACAGCACTATAAGGTGCCATTCCAAATCCATCTTTAATGAGCAGCTTGAATAAACATCCCTAACAAGTGAGAAGAAGAAAATCCCAACTCCTCTACTAACACAGCAGGATGTCATAGAGCCCTGAAGGTGCAGGGAGTTTGCTCAACTTACAAAAAGTCTAATTATTGAGTATGCAGTATGCCTTCACACATTCATACCACTTTACCCCCCCCCACTTTCCAAATTTGCTCCTAAGCTTGCCTAACAAGTATACGGGCTACATAGTTTCTGTCAACTCACACCACAGCTTTGAGAGTGTGCTTTCTGATTATTTAGAGAGTTATTTAATGAACTGTATTGTTTTAGAGAAAACAATTTGGAAGTGGTTGGCCTTCATTAAAGAAATAGTCTCTAGAAACACAGAACTACAATTGCACAACAAAACCTCCTATCACACTTGTGTGTCCAGGTAGAAAATAAAATTGTCCTAATAAATTCAGGGAAAGACTCACAGAGTAATTTTTCAGGTGGAAGTGCTGAATTTAGTCTAGCTTGATACATTAATGAGTTAGGCTCAAAGACAGGGTAAGTATGAGTCTCCCACTAGGTCTCTCCCTTCCATTGGCTACCTCATTCTA